AAAAAAAAAAAAGATTTAGTTCACAGACATCTAGCGTTGTTCTGAGAGAGCCCTGAAGACAAGGGAGGGGCCAGCCCCCGGGACTTAGGGGGTCCGACGCCAGGACGGGGGTGCGCCACCAGAGACGAGGGACCCCTCGGAGCCACGCGTGCAGCCAGTCGGGCTCCGGCGGCCACACGCGCTCCGGCTGTTTCAGCCCCACAGGGGCTCCTAAGGGCAACAGAGCCCAGAAAGAAGTCACTTAAAACAGGAACCCACGTTTCAGAGTAAACTCTGAGAAAAAGATCTAAAGACGGGAAGGAAAACTCTGAAGTAGGTTTATCTGGTCTCAGGCTTAGTGACACCCAGGCCGGGTTCACTGCCGGGCTCTCAGGGTGAGTCGAGGGTGGCGGAGGCGGGAGAGGGAGAGAAGCCTCGATGTGAGCGCGAAACATCGACTGGCCGCGGCTGCACACGCCCTGGGGAACCCAGCCCGCAGCCCAGGCTCGCGCTGAGCGGGTGGGCCGGCGGCCTCCCGGGGCAGGGACAGCGCCCACCCGCTGAGCCTCGCCGCCAGGCGGCCGGCTCACTCCTATTTTCACGTGATGACAGCCTGTCTGCACGGCCCTGCGACGGGACTGCGGGGAATCCCACGAGGAGGAGCCCTTGTCATCTCGCGACCCTTCCTTCCTCGTGGCCTGGGTCGCGGGCAGCCCTAATTTTACAGAGCATCTCCGACAAGTAAGCCCATGTGCGGCCGTCAGCGTGTCGGGACGCTCTGGAACGTGGGCACGAGCCGGTTCAGCTGCTGAAAGGAGGCCACGTAAACCTCCGTCAGCACCCACCCGGCCCGGTGGCAAAACCAGCCCATACCTTCTGCGTGCCCGTCGCTCTCGCCGTCGCAGAAGCCTAGCGGGAAAGGAAAACACACTTTTATGTGGCACTTTCGTTCCTGCTGGTTCATGACTTAGTCACTCTCTAGGTGTGAAACAGAACTTTTAAATCCCACCCATTTCGGTACATCGGTTCATCTAAGGGAACCAGCGTTCATCCTGAAACAGGCAGGCGGGGTTCACTTGGTCCAAAGCCAGTTCCCATCGACTTTCCTTCCCCTTTAAACGGGTCTCCCTCTCCAGCTGTGTGACCGCCTCTGTGCCCACAACACGAGGCCCGGACGGGGGCCACCTTGCGACACCGCAGGCGTGGAGGGCAGACGCTCCGCCCGGGAGGCCGGGCGCCACCGCCCTCAGTCAGGCCGGAGCAGAGGAAGGCTTCGCGCAGGAGGTGCCGTCCGAGTCGACCCCAAGGACAGCGAGGGGGTGACAGTAACAACTGCATCGCCTCCTGCTGACCGTGCCGCTCGGGCGCGGGGACGGTTCCCGGGGACGGAGCCCTGAGCGCTGCCTCGGCTGCGGAGCCCACTCCCTGGCTCCAGTTACATTTTCCCATCACTCTACCCGTTACTTTATTTGGCTGGTCCTATAACGAGAAATACCTTTTTGCAAAGCTAGTTGATATTTTTAAAATCCAAAAGGAAAAAGGAAATGAAAAACTTTAATGAATTACAGGGAAACGCAGGGAACTATTTAAATAGCTCCCGCCAGCAAACACGATTCTCCAGAAATAATTCCCATCCTTGGAGACGGGGAATGTTTTAAACACACTGGCTTTCCCACGTAAACACGCCCATATTTGGATGTTTCTTGAGCCCTGCGATACTTGCAGGGCGGCCACGTGGTGCAGACATCAGAGCTGGAGGGCGGCCCGGCCGGGCACTGAGGCCCAGGAGCGTTTAACTGCCGAGGGGACGGGAGCGCCCGTGGTGCCCCGAGGCTCTCGTCGGCCCAGGAGCCTGCCCTGGGCGCCCCCTGCTCCTGCTCGTCTACCGGGGCCGACGCTCGCCACCTCCCGCCTTTCTCACGCGTCCTCACGCCTCACCCCTGCCCTCGGAAGCCGCCGGTCGGCATCAGCACCTCAGTCGCGTTCTCTCGCCGCTTTCCTCTTTGCACGTGCCCCAGAAGCTGCTTCCCTGAACCCCCTAGGTTCCCTTGTCCTCGCCGGGCCTCTGGCCTTTTCAGAGTGAGCTCTGCCCGGAAGGGATGGCAGAGGCAGGCACGCGGCTCTTTCTTTGGGGTCCCAGGTAAAAACCTAACAGCCTGGCTCCCTCCCAGTCCAGGGAGACTGAGATCTTGCTGCAGCCACAGGGCCCCGCGACGGCCGTCTCTGCTTCTGCTGGGCCTGGTTCATAGCCCCGCATCCCTGCCTGTCCCGAGCCACACCCCCACCTCCCCACTTCTCTAGCCCACACCCAATTCCCGCGTAACCGCCAGCTTCAACTCCTCTCCCCGTGGGCAGCCCCGTGAGCTCCTCTCACCTGACCCTGAGCACACACGTCTCCCCCCACGTCTGCCGGGCGGCGGATCCTACGGGACAGACGGAAAACAGACCCGCTGCCGGCAGGGGGCCCGTGCGTCTTACCCATGTACGTGGCAGGCCAGGCCGACTGGCCGCCTCCTCCGTAGGGGTCCTGGGGCTTGGTGCTCAGAGCACTGGTGTGAAGAGCAGAATCGGAATTGGTCCTAAGCGGGGAGGAGAGAGTCTGGTGAAAATCACCTTTATTTAGTGAAAATGCAACAGTCTTGATGAAAATTACCAACGGGAGAGAAAGTGAGGATAATTATTTACAATGATCCATAAAACGCGGGATCTGGACCTACCAGAAGTCCCTGCACGTCAATAACAGCCCCTGAGGGTCGCCCACACCCAAGATGACTTAAAAAAAAAAAAAAAAAATCAATGGAAAAAATATCCCCAGGTGAGGATTACCAACCACCACAAAAACTTCTGTTTAATTTCTAACATCCATAGACAAAGGCCAAGAGATAGAGACGTAAATGGAGACTCCAGGGCCGCCATGGCTTTTAGGGCGGGAGAGGAGTGTCCAAAGACACGAGGCCTGGGAACGCGGACGGGGGCCTATTTCTGAAGCTCCCCCGGACAGCTCCAGGAGACGACCATAGACTCGCGCAGGGTGGGGCCGCCTGCCGTCAGAAGGGCTTGTGGACTTCAGGTCAGCCTAAGAGGCTTCTCTGCGGTCCATGCCCGGGGACAGCCGCGTGCGGCCGGATGGCACGTGCTGTGTTCAGGCCGGGCGGGGGCAGGTCAGAACTCGCTATGAGCTCAGAGCCTGGGGCCAGGCCCAGCTCCTTCAGGGTCACACAGACTCAGACAACGGGGATTTTTTTTATTTCTGAAGATCTAATTGGCTTTATTAAGTGATTCGTGAACTGGGCGGAACCTCCCCTAGCAGCCGGGGGGAGCCCCCGGGAACTCAGTGCAGGCTGCTGTCAGGTGATACTTCAGCGGGAACGGCACTGCGGCTCCGGCTGCTTTTCTGAAAGGTCCTTGTTTACAGGGGACAGACTACGCAGCCGGCGGAGGCATGAGCGGAGGATGGGCATGGAACAAGAGGCAGGACGCTGCGGACTGGAGCCGAGGGACGGCCACAAGGGGCTTCTTGTAACGCTTTTCCCTTCTGTGCATGTTTAAAATTTTGCACTATAAGCAGCTTTTAAAAAATGCCAGTTTCATCACTTACTAAGTGACCCTGGACAAGTCATTAATATCTCAGAACAGGAAAAAAGCTCGTTCTTGTCGGCTGTGATCAGGACTGAGCGAGCGACCTACGCACAACGCTGACCACCGGAGCCTGGCCCAAAGTGACCACAGCAGCAGCTCACGTGTGCCGCGTACTCACCGCTCCCGGTATTACCCTACTTGGTCTTCACGACCACCCCTCGATACAGGAACCTTTACCTGCCTTTCCAAATGAGTAAACCGAGGCACAGAGAAACTCAATGACTTGCTGAAGGTCACGTGGTGAGAGGCAAGCCCTGCAGTCCCACCCCCGACCGCGTGTCCTTACACAGCATCATTCTGTTCTCTGTGGACATTCAGTAAATGGTGAGGGGCTTGGGTTTGCCTTTTTAACACGTCACATAAACACAACTGGTGGAACAGCCTCTGGCAATGAGATGCAGGTGCCACGTAAAGGCCGGCAGGGCGGTCAGGCGGGCTGGGCCTCTTCAGGGGTCGCTGGGAGGCGATGCGCGTACCTGTTCAGTGCAGACGTCAGCCTGAACCCCGGATGCTTCTCTTCTTTCCAAGGGGGCTGCTGCCTTTAAGGCCAGAACATCACAAAGGAAAGGAGTTTAATCCACAGCCTGGGTCTAAGAACCGACTGCCCCTCGCCCAGCTGTGCCCCGAGGAGAGGCCCTCAGGGTGCTCGTGTTGCCCGTCACTGGGAAACGGAACTGTCAGGCCGCCCAGTTTACATCCAAGTTTCTTGGATATAAATTTTAAAGTTTGGAGATTAGCTTTTTATGATTTAAAACACCGTGTTTATCCTACACCTTTGGGTCTAAGATTCCTGAGGGTGGGTGGAAGCCGCCTGAGGCAGGGTCAGCTGTTGTCCACCTTCCCACGGGCCTTTCCCAGTCCTGCCAACATCACCCACAGTAACTGCTCGGCTGGTATGTGCGCAGGGAGAGGGCGGGGAGCGGGCCCCAGCCCCGGGAGCTAAGCGCTTTCAAGGTGCGTGTTTCAAATGCCTCCTGAGACCGACGTGGTCTGAAGACGGCACCACACACATGGTGGGTGCAGGAGTCTTTCCAGTTAATTGTGTATTGCTCCCTCTATGCTAACAATACTTTTTTTTTCTTGGGTATACACCATCTGTATACGAAAATATTCAAAGAGACCCTTAATCAAATCCACTGTGCAAACTGCCCCTTCGGGAGCTTGCTAAAGCCCGTGTTCCGTCCCATCACTTCCTAAAAACCCGACGACAGGCAGTTACTTTCCTGTGCCCCAGAATAAAAAAAGCCAGAGCGTTCTATCGGGAAATGTGTTCCTATCTGCTTTCAAACGTGAAGATCCAGCTGTCCTGAAATAACGTCCCACTTCAGGCTTTCACGTAAGCCTAGGGCCACACAGGAAAAGGCCTGAGTTTTTTTAAGAGCAAGCGAGATTCTATGCTCTAGATCGGAAATGTCTAGAACAGCACCCAAGGCAGACAGGATAAAGCGAAAGCGTCCAACGCCAACACCCGCCTGCCTTCAACCCGGGGCTCGCTTACCTCGGCCAGCTCTCGTCCAGGGGCTGTGAGGAGTAACCGGCTCCAAATGTGTTCCCATCAAAGTAGGATTTTTAATTAAGGAAAAATACACTTAATGAAAACGTGCAAAGCAGAATCCAGACACTGGGGTTATGGGGCGTTCAACACCTGAGGTTTGGGCTCCCCCCCCGGGACCCCCATAGCTGCCCCCAGGCTTCTCTCTCCAACTTCCTCTGCAGAGGCCACCCCTCGATCTTCTACCTGGCGCCATCTCTGCGGGGTTCGTGTGGGGTTTCTTATTTTACATGCCTAGCAGCTTGTTGTTAAGACACGTTCCAGACACACGGAGAGACCGGCGTGCTCCTGCACTATGCACGCGGGGGGGGCAGCAGAGAAATTCTGGTCAATTCCGCACCGTTTTCTGAAACAGGTTTAATCACGTCACTCTCCTGCCAGGACATCCCCAACGATCCTCTACAAGAGAAGCCGTCACGCTCGGACTCAGGAGGACACGGGACCCTGATGGAGGAGGGACCAGCCTGCAGGCCGGGCTGGGTGGGCCTCCCCAGGGAACACAGCATCTGGCATCAGCGAGCTGTGGGCCCAAACTCGTGGACTCCTAATGATTGAGTGAAACGCTTCCTTTGCCAGAGCATCACAACCACCAGTTCCACTTTCTCGGTCAGTTTCGTTACGTTTAGTGCCTTATTTCTTAATCTGAGTCAATAGAGCAGGTTTTCAAGAGGGAGACGTTTCTCCAACGTTAGCCAGGAGGCTTAATGAAATGAAGGCAGATGGGAAGAGCCAATGGGGGAGGCAGAGGAGACGCGGGTGGAGAAATGCCAAGGCCGGCGGAGGGCAGGGCACGTCCGCAGGTCAGTCGGCAGAGCCATCAGGCAGCGGCCCCGAATCTCACCAAC